GGGTTCCCATTAGGGTCCCTTTATCATTCATGTACAGCCCCACGCTGCAAGCCGCAGACAGACTCAGCGTGGCTTTGCCAAAGGCGAGACAGTTGAAGGAAGCGCTATCGGAAGACGTGCTGCGTGCCTTTTACAAACTCCCTACAAGGAGAGGCCCCCTAGTTACATAACTATAATTATAAGTCCTATAACTACTACTTATGAAACTTATAACTATATTTAACCCAACTTATAACCCAACTTATAACTAGGGGGCCCCTCCTTGTAGCCTGGGGGTAGTTTTGTATACGGACAAGGCTGGCCTCAAACCGCCAAAGCCCCGGGCCGCTTGATGCCCTGACTGTGAACTATAGGATGAGGGTTCAGCGCTTCCCCGAGATATATTTGTTAGACTAGTATGCGGATAAAGTATGCTGATAGGTCCTGTATATGATAGTCATGTATAGTTTCGTAATTATATTTGGGGACTCCTCTTGTAACAGGGGCCTAATTCGCATGAGAGTTGGAGTCACCCTCTACTGATTGTGAGAAATTTCAGAAGCCTGGACCAGACCTTTCGGACCCAAAACCAGAACAGTCAGTGCCGGGCCTGATTACTTTAGGGCTTAAGTTTAGCGCTTGGGCCCATGGTCAAATAAGGGCCCTCCCGGAAACCTACAACCCCGCAACACTCAGAAAACCAAACATACCTGATTGGGCCTTTCAAGTAGATACAATAATGACCAAAAGCCCCCACAATTAGCCCAAACCGCTATCATTCTACATACATTTGGGGTGTAGGTGAGTTCCAAAACTCACAACACAGCGTGCCTTGCTAATTGTGAAACCCCTAGGCCGTTGAACAAACAAAACAGACGCGCGGGAGGAGCTCGAAAGTAGAACCCCAGTCTGGCACTATATGCTTTAGGCTTTACGCTTTACGGTTTAGGGTTCACTATCATTGTGCGTGTCCTAAAGAACACAAAAGGGATCTGCTTTTGAGATCCAAAGCTCGAGTCAGAGCCCCAAACCCAAAGTCGCAAACCCTAATTCCTAAACCAGAAGCCCCAGCGCCGAAATCCTAATAAAACACGAAATCCAAATTAAACCCCAACCCTGAATCCTAGACCTTACGCCCCAAACCCTGAATCCCAATGCAAACCCAACCCTGAATCCTAAACCTTATGCCCCAAAGCCTAAATGCCCACTGAAACCCCAAACCCTTAGTCCGAATATAGCCCCACCTCTGAATCCTAGACCCTAAGCCCTAAATTTGTAAACTCTAAACCCTCAACCCAAAGCCCTAACTCTAAACCCTGAACTCAGGAGTCGGGGAAGCAAGGAAGGATACAGCCTCAGCAGGCGGCTGAAGGACCAAGAGCTTGGGAAGCCTTATGCTTGCTTGTTGGGGCTGTTTGGGGTTTACCCCAAGACTTCTGGGATTGTTGTAAGCGTGTTCAGGCTTTGGGATTGAGGGTCTCGGGTTGGGATTTGGGGTTTAGGACTCAGGGGTTTTGGGGCTTAGGCTTTCGGGTTTAAGGTACGGGGTTTGGGGTTTACGGTTTAGAGTTTGGGGTGTAGGGCTTTTATGGTTTATACGGTTTAAGGTAAGTAAAGGTTTAGAATATGGAACAGGATAAATACGTGTAACCAAATGGAAAATGAAAAGGAAACTGCTGATTTAGGTGTTCAGGTTGCTGGTTGTGAGCAGGCAATGAAGGAACGGAAAACCCTAAGGGTCCAAGGACCCAAATAATAGGGTCTTAGGTCCCAAATACCATTCATATTATGGTATTTGGGCCCTAAAACCCGAAAATTTGGGTCCCTGGACCCTTAGGGTATCCCAAATAGGGTTTAGGGTTTAGGGAGGAATGGAAAAAGATTGTGTGCTCCTCTCTAAGTGGTCGTTCTCCACATCGAAGACTACGCTGACGCAGGCCATCCGATGGTCAGCAATGAGCGTCCCGGGACGATATCCCCAGGATCTTCCCAGACCACTGGGAGGATCTAGAGAGTAGATCCCCCCTTTAAAGGGTTCCTAGGATTCTATAGGGTTTTCTGGGGTTTAGGGTTTAGGATTTAGGGTTTAGGGTTTAGGATCTTGAAAGTAGATCCCACTAAAGGATTCCTAGAAATTCCCCCAATAGTAGTATAGAGTACCATATTGGGGGCTCAACTTTCTAGATCTTCCCAGGGGTCTGGGTTTCGGGCGGCCCCGCATAACATCTGCAGCTCTTGTCTCTGGCGGGGCTATCCGGTGGCTCGTACTCATTTTGCGGATGGCTCCTGCACACCCTACCCCGGCAAAGGATGTCAGATGTCCCATAAGTTCCTGAGGGAAGTACCATGCAACAGGTACTTTTGGTCGCTTCCGTGAACCCATGCGGCCCATGACGCTTATGAATTTGTAAGCTCCTCCTCCGTGGGCATCGGAGCAACCCAGACCCCCAAAGCAATCCAAAACTAGATCCCCTGGAAGACGCTGGGGAAATACATAGGGATTATATAGGGGTTATTCTGGCTTTATAGAGGGGATCTAATTTTTAGACCCTCCCAGGGGTCTGGGAATCTGTTCACCTCGCTTGAGAGGATGCCGTACCTTCCTGTGAGCCTGGATGACAGTGCTACGAAGTCACAGTGCTGCGAAAATCAAATGAGCTGCGCGGTTTAGGGTTTAGGGTTTAGGGTATCGTCTAAACTCCTTATAACCTCTATTGTACGCCCCTGTAGAATCCCTTATATGATGCCCTAAATACTCCACTTTAAGGAGTTTAGACTATAGCTCAAATGCTTCCAGGCTCCGTGGTCTTGGTTTGGGGGAAGGCAGAGTTCTGGCGCCACGGCACAAAAACGGTGCAAGATATACATACATATATATATATATACATACATACATACATACATACATGCGACAGCTGAGGGTCTAGGATGTAAGGGGCATGGGATTCAAGTTTGGGGTTAAGGGCTTAGGATCCAGAAAGTAGATCCAACTTACGGGTTCCTGTCCGCTCCACTTTCTAGATCCTTCGAGGGGCCTTTTGCCATCAAGCCCGTTCCCAGACCCTCGGGCGGATCGAGAAAATAGATCCATGTTAAGGGTTCCGAGAAGCTACCCAATACAGGGTAACATATTGGGGCTCCACTTTCTAGATCCTCCCAGGGGTCTGGGTAGCAGTTACGGGACTTAAATGTATCGCTATGTGACTAAAGCTCTAAACCCTAAACCCTAAACTAGGGGGCCCTCCTTGTGTGGTTTGTAGTTTATCGCTGATGCTTCAGGGCCAGGTGCCCGGCCTCAGGGTCTTACAACGCTCAAAATACCCCAAATCAGTGAACCTATAGTCCCCTGTAAGTAGATAGAATATGGCTTTGGGTATACTAAAACAAGAATCCCCATATACCCCATATTCTATCTACTTCAGGGGGGGTATAAATCCGAAACCCTAAAACCTAAACCCTAAGCCGCCATCTCAAGGATTTGGACAGGAATCCCCATATACGCCATACTCTATCTGCTTAAGAGGGGACTATAACCAGATAAGTGGTATCTTCCCAAAATGAAACCCTATCTACCCAGACCCCTGGGAGCATCTCGAGACCAGAGCCCCCATGTCATGGCACCCTCTGCTACAGGGTTTAGGCACTAGGGCGTTTAGGGTTTAGGCCATATCTAGGAATCCACAAGAAGGCTCTACTTTTAGACCTAAACCCTTAACCATAAACCCTACATCATCAACCTTATGCCCTAAACCCTGTACCTAAACCCTATACTCTAAACCCTATACCCTAAACCCTACACCCTATATGAGCTATAGTCTACACTCCTTCAAGGGGGTAAGATACGGGAGGGGGCTACTATAGAAGTTATTAAGGGGGCTACCACGGTGGATGGTAAACATCCTACACGACCCAGCAAGGCGGCTAAGGCGACGAGGATGAGCCACTTCCGCAATCTCAAGGTTTAGGGTTTAGGGTTTAGGGTTTTGGCTAGATGCCAGTGGGTCATGCAGGATTTCTAGCATTCGCGCACGCCCTGTTTGCTCTGCCAAGGGGACCGATATTGTAAATTAGGGGGCTATGGGGAAGCCGGCCTGTGCGTAAAAATTGATGCAGGATTTTTTTGTATCAGCAGTAGGAGTTTAGACTATGGCTCATATAACCCGGAAGGGGAATCTACTTTCTGGATCCTCCCAGGGGTCTGGGTAGACATTTGCATATAGTCGCGCCACCTCCCAAAGAGCCCAAGCACCAAGAGATAGGGGGTATGGGGGGTTTCGGGTTTAGGGTTTAGGGTTTAGGATTTCGGGTCTCAGGTTTAGGGTGAAGGGGTCTAGGATTTAGGAAAAACCCGGCAGATGATACTATTAGGGCCTAAAACCCGTCTAGTTGGGCACTTGCACCCTCACGTTATGGTACCATCTACTACTA